ACACGACACGGTATTTTCACACCGCTTTTTCGCCCAAAACGGCGTCGTATCATCACTTCCTTGTGCAAACATCGCAGTGTCACTTCCTCTTCTTATCTTCTTCCTTTTCCCGCTCAATAACCACCGGAGCCGCCGGAATGCTGAACCACCACTCCCTCAGCCGCCGCATCAGCCGCTCCGTGCTCGCTCTCCTCACTGGCGAATATCTCGTGAACGCCTCCAAAAACACTAGCAGAAACAAATACTTGCATGGCACAAACGCCATTGATACCGCCATTATCACCATCGCCACTGCAAACTTCTCGCTCGCCTGTTTTTTTCCCCCACAAGAACATTCGTCAAGTTTCTTCTTTTTCCAGAAAGATCTAAACTTTAGCCAGATTCTCAGCTTTTTCAATCCAAAAAAACGTGTTTTTGTAAGAAGTGAGCGAGTGAAAAACCTGGGGGAAGAGGGAAAGCAGTAAAGCTCGGAACTTGAGGAGAACGATGTTTCCGTCTTGGATGAGCTGTTCGAGTTGTGAGATGGCGTTCTGTACGGCCAAAAGCTGTTCCATGGTGCTCATAGGAGGAGGGGCTACCACCATTAGCCCCATCTCTCCCTTTTCTCTTCCGAAACACCGAGTCAGAACCATGAAAACCGCAAAGAAGAGAAACCCAGCCGCCATTACATAGCCAATCCATCCCCTGTTCAACAATGGAGGAAAGCAGAAAAAAAGTTTCAGAGAATTGTATACACATGGATGAAGCATCTGCCAAAATTTAGTAAATCACCGGCAGATTATGAAGGTGGAGATGATGCAGAAGACAAAAGATTTGAAGGGATCATCCCAATAGGCCAGCGACAAGAACCAGTTCCCGACTTCCATTACTGGAAGAAGCAGTTCCTGCAAGAACATAGTGAATTTACATTGCAGCCAGAAATAACACTTTTATGTAAAGATCGAACGGTGAAAAATTCTCCTCGTTTGGCCGCTAAAAAGATTAGATTTTGGAAGCTTTCATCGCCTTACCAACACGAAAAGAGATGTTATGAGCGAAATATGAACCGCCCATAATACATACCCTCTTCAATTAATCCCTGTAGTGATGAATCTTCCATACTGATAGACACAGATTCGATTCACGTATAAAAAAACATGGGAAGGGGGGGGGGGGGGGGGGTGAAGAAATCGAGATGAAAGCTTAGAGTCAGGGTTCTATCACCTACTAACTTCCTATAAACTGCAAACGGTACAAAACATTTACCTTCATGACGGCCATGTTGGTATCAATCCCATCCACTTTGACTCCATGGACCGTCTCCTGAGCCATCACCACTTTCTCGTAGTTTTTCCGTGACTCCTTCACCACTCTCTCCAGTGGACTCATCTCTCCCACCGCGACCTCACCCACCATGAGACTACTCCTTTCGCCCGTCCTGCTCCTTGGACTTGTTGTCCCAAACACAGAACCTAACTGTGAAACCACGTCTGAGGCAGACATCGTGTACGATGTCCCTGTTAAGAAAATAAAAAATGTACATATAAATTCAATAACTGTAGACCATAATTCTAGTGATTAAATGTGAGATGCCGTGATTTAATTATCAGAAAGTGAAGGGCTACAACGATGTTTGCAAAGGCCATATGCATTATTTGAACTACAATGCCAACCGAGTTAGAAACAACGAATCTTGATTAACTGACAAAAAACCTTTTTCATGAGGTCTATGAAGAATGTACCCGATACACATTTTTGAGCACTAGAAACATGTTAGAAGCAGATAATTGTGATAACAAGTGGTAATACCTCCATCTTCAGTTCTGTTTGTTCGATCAAGCTCTCTCGAATTCGACATCTTTGCAAGCGTCTCGAGAATCAGATCTCCACCCGGAAGTTGATCGCAGAGGTTAAACAAGAGAAGATTCTCGAAGCAAGCAGGGTTCGTAAAACCCAGTTCTTGAATGGTTTGAGCTCGCAAAACACAGAGCACGGCCTTGGAGAGAGCTTCTTCCCTCGCCACACCTGTGATCTTGAACTTGTTTATATATCTGTGAGTGTATAACACTTCCCGGATTATTGCGAGCCAGTAATCACGTCGGGTGTGGCCTTTGAGCTCAGGGAACTCCATTACCACTGGTTCTGATCTACAAGAATGAAAAATGGAGAGCTGCAAATGTTCAGTGAGACTTTTATATGATATAAGGGCAAGAGCAAGAGTGAAAATCTGTTATTACTGACTCTGATCTGCCAAAAGAAAAAAAGAGCCCCAAAAAAACTATGAACCCGATAACACAGATCCTTTTCTTTGCTAAAAGATAGATATTCTTTCTGGAAATTTTGAGGAAAACGAGAAATAATATTAATCATGCCTTACAAGGAAATGGACTTGTAAGAGACCGCCTTATCGAAAAGTCGAGTGCCCCAGGGACCAGTTAACTCGGGTTTAACAACTTGTTTTAGATCTTCTGACAAGTCGTATTGCTTGGGCTTGTCATAAGACACAACACGAAGAGCCTCAAAGTAAAGCGCGTGATCGGTCAAAATTAGTCGGCCTGACCATGAGAAAAAGAAATAGGTCGTACAAATATAATAAGTATTGATCGATAGAATAGAAATGTGATTTCTTCATCCAGAAACCGTACCTGGCCATGTAGATATACCCACATGTTCAAGAACAGGTTGGGTAGTAACAGTCCCATCCACTTCCAAAATCTTTTCTCCTTTTGATCGAATATTGGAAAGAAGAGATGACTCGGAATGATTCTTCATCTTCTTTATAGCTCTATGATCAAATCAACAATAACAATGTTTAGACAAAACTAAATCCAGAGAGAAAAGTTAGGTTTCCAAGAATGTTGAGAAAAATACTATGTTTTCACCTCACCTTTCTAGCCCATTTAAATACTTGTCATAAACCGAGAATTGAAGCCGACTACCAGCTGACGAAGTCAGCACATCAAACAAATTCTCGCATATGATCACATCAGCGATAATTGGAACTGCTTGAGCTATCCGGGAGAATGCTTCTAAACTCACAGTTGCATCATCATCCACCTGATTTTCATAACAAAGAAAAAAAAAGATGTAAAGGAAGGTTCTTTCAGAGACTTCTCTACCATATACCAAAAAAAGGGAAAATCAGAATTTACACTGAGTAACGATTGGCTAGCAGCTGCAGGGAATTCCCACGCAACCATCATATTGAAGGTTAAGCGTCGGAACTTTTTGTCAGAGAGATGACCCACCACTTGGACAGACAGAGCAAGTGCCCTAAAACAGCAATACTCTAGAAAGTTCCTAGCAAACCGTGATGGATGCTTTAAGGATTCAGGCGCATCTTGTTTGAAACTCTCGTGCAGATCTCTTGAAGAAATCCCGAGTATTCTGCATTAAATGTTTCCGTCAGGACAGGAAAACTAAAAGTAGTCTGGTCCCGATCAATACCCAAACTTCTCAAACTAAACTAAGTAATACTGTACTTTGAGCATCTCCGGACAACCACATTGGCCAGAGGAGAAAGCTCAGGTATCCAATTCGCCCCGGCGGAAGGAGACCTTCCCATCTCTTCGATTTCCTCATCGAAGGAACTTCTCTTCCCAAGCAACCATTTGAGCGAGCTATCTTTAACTAGACCTTCCAACATATTCCGGGTCTTGCTCGACATATCAGATAATGTTTCCCCACCTCTGTCAAGCAGCTCTACCACCAACAATCACTAGAATCAGGAAAAAATTCAACCTGACGAGATTATATGTTTGAATTCTAAGCATATTCCATCTTGCAGTTCAACCAAAGTTTAATTTGGTAAGAACCGAATTCCAAATTCAACAATACATACAGATTATACCACACAGGCCATTGATCAGCAGCATCTAGGCTAACCGGAAGAATACAAAACAGCCAAGAAAGACATTACAGCTAACAACGGAAACTAATCGCATAAAGCACAGAGCAAAAAGCAGCGGTGGCACTGGAAGGAGATGCATCAAAGCTGACTAAATTGTGAACATTCCCATAAACCCACCTGAAATCAGCTTCGAATAAGCGTTTTTTCACGAACCCATTTTATCAGATTCACAAATTCTGAAGAAACAAGGACGAAATCCTGCGAACTCGATAGCATCTCAGAGAACCCACCTGAGATTAACTTCAACCCTGCTGTTCTCACCAGTTTATACGCTCCCGCGGGCAAAAATCTCTATGAATTTTGGGTTCAGCTTCTTTCCTTCGAGGGGTCTCTTGGATGATCGGCCATGATTCTGTCGTGATTTGGGGTTTATCGAAAAGGAACACGCAGGACAGGCGAGTGAGCTGCGAATCGGTCTCGGCCATACTCGGGCGATGTTACGCTACAACACCCTAACACGTGGGATCAAGACGTAACTTTGTTTAGATCTCGGCACGTGCGTTATATCAACGGCACGGATTCGATCAGTTATCCTTCATGTATATTCTTTATTCATAACCGTACACGTGGCAGTTAATCCATCTCCACCGTTCAGTCAATCCTTTAAACTTTTCACCTTGTTTTGTCTAGGGTTCTTTCTGGTTTCCTCCGACTGCAGCGTCCCTTGGCTTCTATCTTCTCAGGTGAGTTTCCTTCCGACGGAAATCCGATTAACTAATCTACAGTCTTCTCTGCTTCTTACCTTCTCGTTGGTTATTCTCTTCAGTATCCTCCCTGAATGTATGTTTTCCCGGAAAATCTGGGGTTTTCTGTATATTTTTATGGTAGTTGCGCTCGATTTGTTGTTCGAGGCTTAAATGCTTCTTTGAATCGCTAATTTGATCGGAAATATGAATGTAGCTATACATATATACTGTTCTTCTAGTTTATGTCGTTTGTATTGTTTAGTACCTGTGTTGCTTAGCTTGTTTGTCGATCCGAGATGGTCTCTGAATATGGGTGGTATTTGATATCTTCCGTGTCTGCTGTTGAATTCCATTGTGTGAAGAGATAGTATTGGTGGGTGCAAAATATGTACAAGTGTCTCTTTGTTGAGACCGATCTGCACTTTCTAGGATATCGTGCTATTGAAGATGATGCTCACTGTTCGAACTGTTCTTTGTTTTCAGATCTTGAGGTTGCTAAATCGCAACGGAGAAAGATGTTTTCCGCACAGCATAAAATTCACAAAGACAAGGGCGCTGAACTCACCGAGCTTGATGAGCAAGTTGCTCAGGTTGGTCTATACATTGCTCATCTTGCTTATGTGAAACGACTCTGGTGAAATTTAAATTGAGTTCTCTTTGTTATTGTAGGCGTTCTTTGATCTAGAAAACACCAACCAAGAGTTGAAAAGTGAATTGAAAGATCTGTACATCAACTCAGCAGCGTGAGTACAGTTTCCTCTCTATTGTTTGAGAGATTGAATGGGTTTCTTCTTCTCGGGTCTTGCACTATGGTTATCATTACTAAATAACCTTCCATCTATATATCCTGTGTGCAGTCAAGTCGATGTTTCTGGAGGACGGAAGGCAGTCGTTATCAATGTCCCGTACAGATTGGGAAAGGCTTACAGGAAGATCCATGTCCGGCTTGTTCGTGAACTTGAGAAGAAGTTCAGCGGAAAGGTGAATGAAACCTTCTCTATGCTTTGGCTCTCTTGCTTGTTTTCCCCTGTTGAGTTACTTGGTGATCCATGGTTGAAGTTTGAAATTGTTAATGCATCATTTTGATTGAATGAATATTATTGCATTAACCCATTCAAGATGGAAGAATCATGGGATCTACCTTACTGCCTTCTTTTATGTGGACTGAACTTGTCGGTTGTCATGTGGTCGGGGACTGAATAGGATGTGATTCTGATTGCAACAAGAAGGATAGTGAGGCCTCCTAAGAAGGGATCTGCTGCCAAGAGACCACGAAGCCGCACACTGACCACAGTCCATGAAGCCATCCTCGATGATGTTGTCTTGCCCGCCGAGATTGTCGGGAAACGTGTTAGGTACAGACTTGACGGTTCCAAGATCATGAAGGTAAAGTACAACCAAGATATTCTAAGATGATAGATACTAGGGGTGGGCATTTCAGTTTTCGATTCAGGTTTCTGTCAGTCATATTCGAGTTCGTTTCATTTGGTTTTAGAATACCTGTATCCAGTCGGGTTTTATGTTAGGTTCGGTTCGGTTTCAGTTTTGAGTGAAAAAAGTGTTCAGTTTCTAAATAAATCTTCGGGTTTTTTTGGTTACTTTTATATTTGATGCGACTTCGGTTTTTCAGTTTTAAATTGATGTTGTGTGTGAAGGTGTTCTTGGACCCGAAGGAAAGGAACAACACGGAGTATAAGCTCGAGGCATTCTCGGCAGTATACAAGAAGCTCACGGGCAAAGACGTCGTCTTTGATTTCCCTGTCACCGATGCCTAAACAAGAGAGAAAAAAAAGAAAAGGAAAACAGAGGTTTGGTTCAATTTCCTATTGTTAAATCTTTCTGATGTGTCTGGACACATTTGTTACATCTTATTTGCAGATTTTGTCGAGTCAGTTTTGAGTCATTTGGGCAAAAAAGAAAGAAGCATAAGTTTGGTTATATTAAAGTATCTTTCATTCACTGTTGGTTTTGATGTTCTTCTCGGAGTATACGTTACATGATTTGAAGACGCCCATATCGTTAATTTATTTACTGTCGCCTTGACGTTCGGTTCTATTATTTATGTTAAAAGGAAACTGTAACATTGTATATTTTATATTGTATATATATGTGTATATATATATAAATATACATATTTATTTTTTTTTTATTTTTTTTTTATTTTTTATTTTTTATTTTTTATTATAATTATAATTATTTTTATTTTTAAAATAAATTCTTATCTGGTGGCGGATGACTGAGGTATTAATGTCAGTTATATCCAAATTCGGTAATTTTTTTGGGATTTTTCTCTTTTTTTAATATAAGATTTTATAAATGCTATGAACTAAAGTATAACTCAAAATCATCGCAAGTCCAAAGACGAGTAGTAGACAAGTGGGTGGATAAATTGAAAGGAATGGAAAGTGCAAAGCTATATAAATTTTTACACATTTAGCCACGCGCTGAAAGTCAAATTGGTCACTGGTTTCGTTAGTACTTCGTACCCTTCGCCATTATCGTGCTCTTGGCTTCGCCATTGACGACCCATCAACGAGAGAGCTAAAGCTCCGAGATCTCGCTTCTCTCCGAAACACCGTGCTGTTTGGTTTGGTAAGAAAGTATAACGAAAGAAGGAAAGCGAATTTTCCCTCGTGTCGGCGCAATTATGGGTTCGTCTTCTGAGATCATCGACATCTCTGCCAGTGCTCGGAGGGTAGTCGTAGACAATCGGATTTCTCACAGATTCTACTTCAGGGTCGCCGATAATATCCTCAAACAGGTTTCGGATACGTATATCAATATGTTTTGGTTATATTTGTTCTGCTAAGTTGTCTTTGTTTGACGATTTTTGCCCTAATTCTAGTTATTGATGCTTGTCGCCTTGTTTAGCTTTAAGTTATTGTTCATACATCCGATTTTTCAGTTGATAAGTTAATCATTAGCTCAGCTGAATTATGGTTCTCTTTCAATAAGATAATTCATGGAGAAGTTCCACATTTCTAGTTTTGGAACTTTGGTTTGGACTGGGTTTTTTGAAGTTCCTTACTACATTTTCTCCAAATACGCATGCTTTTCTTTTGATTGCTGCTTTTGATTTTGTTCGTGTTGGACTTAATATTGGAATGGCAGTTCCTGCATTGGCGTATGTTTTCTTTTCTTCATTTTGTTCATGTTCTAGATCTGTTATTTTAGTTGCATTGCATCTTAAGGTTGTGTGAGTTGTCGGTTCGTAGCCAGCCATGCATTTTATAATGGTAAGGTAGTTTTGAGACTAAGGAAATCCATGCCTCTGAGTGTTGGTTCCTTGGACTTCCTTGTACAGTATCAAGACCTGAGCTTTTGTGCTCGGTCCAACAGCGTGATGGATCCTTGGGTAGGAGAGACTGAGGCCGAAAAGGCCTCAGCCGAGTAGCTGTCTGGGATTGTGTTTTCTTTTATTCTGGACTTTGGATTGTTTTTATTGCTTCTTGGGGTTTCGTTTTCTTATCTAGCTGTTGTTTGGTTTTGGGAGATTAGGATTTTTGATTCAATAAAAATTGCTAGGATTCTAGACTTGTAGAGTCCCAGTGGGAGTCTGTATCTTCATCTATAAAAAAGAGAGAGGTTCTTGCTTGTGAATAAAACATCAGAAGAGTTTTTGATTAAAAAAAATAGTGGGAGGAAGAACACACCTCGAATAGCGTTCAAGCAAGACTCCTTACATGTGGGAAACCACATCGATGGAACCCTAGGTTCTATCACTGCGGTTACTGGATACTGTGTTTTTGAGAGTTGTTGATAGGTTATTACCAGCGTTGTGGTTTCTCAACTGTATCTTGATATAAGCTTCGGTTCTGTCTTTTCATCCTTTAACTCGATAGTGGGTGGCCACATGTATGTTCGCCAAAAAGATAGCCTTTTTATGCTATGATTCTCATGTCTACCACGGGATTTCTTCAGCTCCTCATTTTGCATTGTGCTTTGTAGGCCAACATATTTAGAGCAGAGAAGAATATAATAGATCTATATGTCATGCTTCTTCGGTTTTCGAGGTGAGGAAAAGATTTCAATTGGGCAAGAAGAGCATAGATATGAAAAGGACCAACCCAATTCGTATCCCCATTTAGTAGGGTGTTGGGGAAGGGAATATACTAGGCCACCTTACTCCTACATTTTAATGTATTGAGATGTATTCGAACCCGCGACCTCAGACCCCACGGTAAATGGTAAGATTTCCCGTTTTTTCTGAAATCTTAACCCTGTTTTTTCTTTCCTCTAGTTTAGCTCTTGAGACAATACCATCACATCAAGATTACAGGACAGCCCCTAAATATAACAAAGAGTAATTGAAAACGGTAATCACTATTTTCCTTTACGGTCTCTGCGACTTGCATTTCTGTAAGCGAGAGCTTGATGCGAGATTTAATCTTCACTTCTTATTTTAGAGGTTATTGGATATCTTGACCGAGCTGGAGAAGTTGAAACCAGCTGTACAGCAAAGCATGAATGAACTGAATGCCAAAAGATTACCGCCACCCAACATGCGAGCTCATCATATAGGATACGGTTCCTCAGATCGGTCTTCGGTCAGAAAACCATCATTGAGTAACTTGATAAACCCTTTAAAGTGTACACGAGGAGGAAGAAGAAGAGGGCTGAACCAGAGGAAGGTACACAGGGGTCTCCAGTTGGCTACGAAGCAGCAGATGAGAAGGAGCAGGGAATGCAGAAAAGGGGAGAAGCAGAGGAATATTGTCTGACACGATAATAATGCTGTGCGTATTTTCTGTTATTAAGGAATCACGTACGTGTTGGTATCAAGCTGTTATGGGGGTGAGCCTCTTTTGGGTGGGTCTTATCGAAGAACTTGAGTCTTGTGTGAGGAATTGTAATTGGTATTTTATACATATATTCTATCTATATCCTAACATAGTGTGATTGTTGCTTCATCTTATTAGTTCTCTGTGGCATTAGCATGCATTGCTTGATTGACTTCTGGCTGCAGGTAGCATTTGCAAACTTTATTTCCGATAGGTGGACATAATTTTGGCTACATGGGTCCCAGGGGTCAGCAATTTGTGAACACTGCACCACTTGAAGACAATTTCCAGAAGATGTGAGTGTTCATACTTTGGTTTAAAAGCCCATCCGTAAACTCTTCTACTCCTGCATGGTTGATTCTACATTCAATTTGTCTAGTGTGGTCCTGGTTGATAAATATTTTGCTGTACAATTCCTTCATTCGCCCAAAAGAAGAAACTCTTTCCAAGCATTCTACTTTTAGGTCCAAATGGGCTCCGTGCACAGTTGGCAGCCCCCAAAGAATGACACTTAAAGGTATCCTTGTTTGCTTCCTTTTATTTTTATCCACTGCTTGCTTCACACTAAATAATATAAACTTATGTTTCTTGTCTGAATGTCCAGGTTCATTTTCCAAGCAATATAAGATTTGACACCGATTGAAATCCCAAGGTGAGACCATCTAGCTGGTACTGAAACAAAATGCTTTATTCTTATTCCGCATTCTAAAGGGATTTTGTCTCTTGGATTTGTTTTTGAAACAATCTTACGCCTTTGTCATCATTTTGCCTCTTGATTATCTCTGTAAATAGTTTCCGACACCCTTTGGATAATGAACCACCGATAAAAAGAAAGGACAGTAACAATGGACCTGAGAGCTCCAGGGTGGATAGTAACTCAAGTGCTACACTGAACGAAAACGTCCAGAAAAACCAGGCTCAGGATATTTCTGCCATGGTTTCCTTTGAAGAACCACAAAGTGTTGCTGATAACAATATCATTACGCAACCCTCACCACCTCCCGTGCTTGCAGAAATGCAAGACTTGGTTCCTGCTTTATGCCCCCAAGTTACAGAAGTCGAATGTAAGGTAGAGAACCCCCTTGCCTGGTGATTCTATACAGCCTGAATCTCCTCTCGAACTTCATATTGTAAGTTTGCCTTTCATTTTCCTGTCTTTATGTTTGTTCTTGTAGCAGTACATTTTATCTTCTTTGGTCATAGAAATGATAAAAATGAATCTGGGTCACATCAAGTTACTCTAAGTTCTTTCTTGTGTTAATATCTTGTTCTACCGATGCATGATGTGGTATTAGGGTTGTCAAGTTATCTGGAGAAAAATAGGATGGAAACTGGAAGTGTCAGCTGTCTTCTTGTAGATTCGGTTTTTTATTAAAAAAGGGGAAAACACTAGTACCGTGTTGTATCGTATTTAATATTTTTGGTAATGATTTCTATTTGCAGGCAACTACAATGATGGACACCTTTATGAGGCTCGCCAAATCAAACACAAATAAAAATTTAGAGACGTGTGGTGTACTTGCCGGTTCACTTGTGAGTCCTGATGCGTCTATGGGATTCTATTTTCAAATGTTACGACATGGCATTGATGTTATCGCTGACATGACATGTGAATGCGCAGAAAGACAGAAAATTTCATGTTTCAGCCCTCATCGTACCGAAGCAGGAATCAACTCTCTTGTTTCTGTTCTAAAATATGACTTCACTCCTATATCTTAATTTCTCATATTTCCGAGTCCGAGTTATTGACTATCTCGTTCTGCAGCGTCCGACCACAAACGAAGAGGAAGTTTTTGAAGTGCAGGATAAGCAATCTCTTTTCCCACTTGGATGGATCCATGTAAGTGCCTCTATGTGCACTTCAACATCTGGTTCTGAATCTCAGCTTTGAAACTGTGTGGTTTAGCAGGTCTACTCTTGAAGATATCTGCTTTTTCGTTATTGTTTTCCTTTATTCTTATGCATCCTATGCTTGAGATCAATCTCCTTTTATGTGTTTATTGTCTCCGTAATTTTCAGACGCATCCTACGCAGTCGTGTTTCATGTCATCAATCGATCTGCACACCCACTATTCATATCAGGTACTCTCATCCCATCTCCGTAGATAGAACAAATTGTTGGAAATTATTATGCTATAGCATATTTGATGATACTCTACAATACTAAGGTGCCTGATAACCCAAATATACACCTGCTCCTCCAACTTGAAGGAAACGTTTTCAGTTATAAGCAAACCATACATCTAATGACTCATGAAGCACTCAAATCCCTAAACCCTAAACCCTCTTTATAGCCCTCTGTTACTTCCGGAGTTACTTATTCCGACTTCTCGTGTATTTTTTACAAACTGTTTTGTCGTTCCATTGTGCAGATCATGTTACCAGAAGCTGTGGCAATCGTTATGGCCCCGAAAGACACAACAAGGTAACAATAATAATAATAATAAGAAACTCCAAATCACAAATGTCTCCTGATTGAAACTGAGTTCAAGGTTTGGTTATTGTTTGAAGGAATCACGCAATATTCCGGCTGACGACGCCAGGAGGCATGAAGGTGATAAGGCAATGCGAGCAACGAGGGTTCCACCTGCACAGCCAACCAGGCGGATGGAAGACCCATCTACAGTACGTGTACAGATGTGTATATCAACCCTTCTCATCGATGTGATGTCATCGATCTCCGGTGATTAGAGCCCTTCGTCATAACCCATAAACCCTAAATGTTTTGGGAGAGGGACTATGACTTTGGATCTCTTATTGATCGATCCCTTTGGCTTTGGTTGAAGATGGCATTCATAAATGTCCCTTGGTGAATGCTTCTTTTTATTTATATATGTAAGTATATGTATATATATCCAATGCCGAATTATGTATGTCATGTCATGTGTTTCCTCTGTGGATTGGGTAATGTCTCATTGTCCCAATAAAAATTAATAACATACCCATAACTAAGTTAACCAGGAAATGTAGAAGCAAACGTGTGTATCTGGTCTAAATGATCATTGATTCAAACATGTGATAAGATTCAAAAAGAAGAAAAAAAAAACAACAAACGAATATCTAACGGCAAAAACATTGTCGGCTGAATGAACTGGTTTGGATATTGTCTTCCATAAAACAACCGGTGAACTTTGCACAAACATGAAGCAATACATGCATCCTCCTGAACAAGAAGCTTCTACGAAATCAAGGTCATGTCTTTTTTATCCTACAGCTAATAGCTTATTACTGATATATATAGTTTTTCTTTCCGACAATAGGCAACAACAGCAGAGAAGGCCCTCAGAATGTAAGAACGATCCATAGAAACACAAGAGCTACTGCATTATTCAAACAAACAGCTGGAGATGATCCATTTCCGGGCGTTGACAGTTAGTTTGATGATGATGATGTCGATGATGATGATGATGATGGTGAGATGATTACCTAAAAGTAGGAATGAACTGATCCAATCCAAGTTGCCGCCGCTCCTTTACAACAACAAACAAGTATATAGAAACCACAAATGGTTTCTACACTAGCCGGGAAGCAAAAGCTGCTGCATTTTCTTTTCTTTTTACAATGGCAACTGCATATAAAACTAGGATGTCGAAGAAGAAGAAGAACATGAATACATTGCGGACAGAAGCTTGACCCAATTGAAGACGTCTCCCAAGAACTCACCTTTCATGTTTCCAGAATCTCAACAACATTGTATGAGTCTGCTGTTACTTCTTCTGTCAGCCATAATCCGGGAAAAAGCGACTGTAAATTCGACAGGAGTAAGCATATGTCAAGTCACATACCAAGATACATAGCAGACTCATCTGGTTTTTGCGGCATTTTCTCAGCATCCAAACAATGCATGAAGCGAGAGAGAGAGAGAGAGGAATGGACCGACATTCAATTGCTTCTGAACGATCCGATGTCTCTTCTTGGGTCTCCTCGGAGGTCGTTTTCCGATCATGGCGGCGAAATCCTCCTCGATTTCCTCTCGCAGCAAGGGGACCGAGAACTTCAATTTCTCATTCTTCTCCCTGCAGTAGCCATCGCCGTCACCGTCGCTTCCTCTCTTCACGCCACTCTCATGTCTCGCCGGAGAACCACCGATCCTCGCCGCTTCATCCCTCGGTTCATAGCACGCCGCCCTCCTCGTCCTCAGATTCCACGGTCGAGCAGCCGCGACGCCGTCGTCTCCGGTGCCGACCGCGAGAATCGAAACCTTCGATTTCGCGTTGTATCTTAGATCGAGCCCCGGCTTTCCGTTTCCGACAGCGGAACCGAATCTCGGAGCGGAAGCCGAGGTCGCGACACCGGATATGGAGGCGGAAGCAGCCGATATCTGAAGGGCGCGATCTGGAGACGGAGAAGAAGAAGATGAAGGAAAGGGAGGAGGAGATCGATGCAGGAGCTGGTGGTGAGGAGGCTTGGCGCAGCGGAGGAATCTCTGTTGTCCCCAGCGGAGATGGGGCAAGGTGAAGTTGTGGAGGCGATTGGATCTCTCCGGAGGCGGAGGAGGAGGAGACTCCATTAAAGGATCTCTGTGTTTGGTCTTGTTCTTCTTTCAAAGTTTTGTGAGCTTCGAGCAGTTCAAAGTTTTGCGTATTTATTCTCACATAAGAAAAAAGAAAAGGAAAAAAAAAAGTTATGAATGATTGGGGGAGAGAGATTGCAATTTGCAACGTTGAGCTTTTAGTTTTGGTCTGCCGTAAAATGGAAAAAAATAACACACGCATAATTTATGACCTTGTGTAATAAATTAAAGGAAATTATTAAATAAATACATGTGAGATTTATAATTTAATTTTAAACTAAGAAAAGATTATGGGAGGTTAGTTAGTACAACGACTTTGATCAAGCAATAATGAAGATTAATATTATAACATAAATGGACCAGTTATTATTCAATATTATAAACCTAAAACTGCATTATAAGAAGACAGCATATATTATGGTAACTTTTTTTGTCATTATGATTTTTGGATTAAGTTCAAGATGAACGTTGGCGATAAACAATAGGGTGAGCTACTATATATTTTTCATATAATGTCAACAAGTGCATAATGATGATGATGAATAAAATAATAATAATGAATTAAAAACATTGCAAATCAAATGATTTTGTAATGTTTGTAGAGCAAACATTATATGTTACCATGAATATTGTAATCTTAAATTCGATTTATGGCACTAACAAGTCACTACGATTATGTCTCATTTGTTTTTGGTTTGGTAATATGTTCCCCCGGTCCTTTAAAAAACAGCCAACTTGTGTCTGCTGTGGCGCCGGTAGACATAGAATATCGGTTTTCCATCAAGTGGCGATTTCAATTGGATTAAATTAAATTTGGGCCGATTTTGGTTCGATTAACAAAATTATATAATCATATTCAAACCGAATCTTATAAAAAATATAAGCAGCTATAATTTTTTAAAATTAAAAAAATTACAAATTCTAGTTGAATATAAAAATAACAGAACGAAAATAAAAAAAAATCCACATCAATATTTTTATCATTGAAAAAATTAAAATCCGAATAAAACCGTAATAGAAAGAAATTGAATTTTTTTTATCCGGAAAACATTGCTCCAAAAGTAACCGAAACCCAAAATATCAACCTACAAATTTTAACAACTCGTGTGATTTTTACGTACAATACCGTTAGATTCTGGTTTTAACATATATTCACACACCCTCGCACCAAAAATGAAGGCAACCAAAAAGAATAAAACATGCACGCTTCCGCTGCACCAATACACATCCCCTCTCAGCTTATATACTATATGCAGAACGGGAAAAAAAAACGCAAAATAAAAGAAGTGAGTTATATTCGCAAGTCAGATAAAGGGGGTGAGAGACGAAAGGACTCAGATGGGAGAGATTCATTAATGCTTACCAATCTTTGCCGAAACCCTAAATGCGGCTTCACGATCCGTATGGCTTTGGAGGCCAAATGGGAAACACACCATCTTCATACTCTCATTACTTCTTCTTTTTTTTAACTATACATGGAAATATCTATTACCACTTTTTTTTTCTTGTGTATATGATTTAATCTTCCAACAAGTGAGGGGAAAAAGGGAAATGAGACCTCCTCATATGTATGTAAAAGGTAAGTGAATCAGGAAGAGGTGGAGCAGTCAGGGGCCGGAGCTTCGGATTTGATGACGCGGGTGTTGTAAGAACCGCAGAAGTCGCACTTGTGGTATAGCCAGTGGAACCTCGCTGTCCCTTTCCTTTCACAGTCGTTGCACAGAATGTCCTTATCATTTTACAAACACCCGAGATCAGTTTTTGATTGTTCACACGCATCGGGTTTAGTCTTTTTATTTTTTGTTACCTGACAGCGATTCTTGTATTCTTCCGGAAGCTCTTCCGCGGCTAACAATGCGTCAAGCATGCCGAAATAAACCTGAAAACAAAGCAGTACGATTGTTATAGACTGCATTGATTCTCTCCAAGTTCAGAAAACTAGAGGACATATACAAGGTCCCGGGTGTGTAAATATATAACGAAAAAATGCATAGAAGGGGATTCCCCTTACCGCCATATCTCCTAACGATTTGCCGCAGATTGGACACGTGTAGTGGCTGGAAGGGTAAGCCTGAAGAACACAGCTCACATTTTCATTCAAGGCGATTAACGTAGTAAGTTGAGAGAGAGAGAGAGAGAGAGAGAGAGAGAGAGAGAGAGAGAGAGAGAGAGAGAGAGAGAGAGAGAGAGAGAGAGCTGGAAACAGGCAGAATGCATGTAGTGGCCACAGGGTAAGGCTCTGACCGCTTCGCTCGATGTGAAAAGGAATTCACAGCAGATGGGGCAGTTGGTCTCGAGGCTCTTCTCAAGGCATTTGTGATTGACCAACTTCATCCCCAGACAACAGTTACATGTCATACAGTGGAAATAATCGATTCCCAGTCCTCTCCCCACCCGGCACAGGTTGCAGAACGGACAGTGGTATACGGACCTGAATTCATCGGAGTTTTTTTTCTTTTTATCAACTACAATAATAAGGTCATGTATCTGTTTTTGTATACAGGGATATCATCCCGAAAAACACTATACATTTAACATTCCACCAAAGAAGAGAGCATGAGTTTGCTACATCTTTTTGGGCAAAGCAAGTCACTACCAACTAATTCAAGCGTCGAATTACTGAGTTTTGCTTACCTTTCATCATCGAAAAGCTTGCATATGTTGCAGTAGTACTTTGCCATGGGGAATCCATGGCATGATGGTGTCAAGCACACAGGCCCGACAGGTTGAATCTGGAGGCAGCGCATGCACATCATCTCCGTCACTGTTTTTCTGTAAAGTGCAGATCTAACATTAGAATATCTGGTGATAATACATTCGAAATAAATTTATGTTCGGAGAGATCGAGATCTGGACTTACCTTTCCATCGAATGATCACTAACTTTATCGTGGCAAAATCTACAAGTAAACAACTGGCCGCAGCAAGCAGCGCGTAGTTTGCAGTTTCGTTTGTAATGCTCGCATCCATATACTTGCTTCTCAGGATCTCGAAACGATGGGGAACATCCTGCTGCCTCATCACCATTGGCAGTGGCCGTGGATGCTTCCTGGGGCATTTTTTGCTGAGCAGCTATCCATTTACTAAATAAAGCAAAAAAGAAACTTAAAGCAAAGTTTTGGCAGGCCGCGCCCAGATGATATACATATGCTAGGGGAAACTATTGAAAGAACCTGGGCCAAGGGACTCAAAGCACTGTTCCTGTTTCGTAAATCTTTTCAAGTAATACAGGAAAAAAAAGTCATATTTGTTTTGGCCCCTAACGAGTTTAAAACTGATAAATCGCGAAGAAAGAAGAATGTGGGATCGGTGGAGAGATAGTTTCCTTCTTTCAGTGGTAGAAAAACTGACCTGGTCATCAGATTTTGTACAAGGTATGCTTTTCTCCGCGGATCAAGCGTTGTGTCCCGATAAACCTTCCTGATTTCAGCCTCTAGCTCATTCTGATTCATCCGGAAAATATCTTTCCACCCAGGCTTAAAAAGTTGACCATTTTGATCCAAGTTTTCTTGAAGATCATTATCTACATGGAAAATGAAGTCGAGATAAGCCAAACTAGCTTGTCAGAAGCAAACAATACTTAGAAAGCAAGGGCATCAGATTGAAAGTGAAACCGTCAAAAAACCAGCTTAATTGTTAGCTGCGGAAAAAGAAGGGAAGCACGGTTTCCACCTCTCTGTAAACTAGGTTTTGATGCTCCTTCAGAGGATGAGTCAGGCGATCCTTTCCAGCATTCGTTGAGCCACTCATCGAACATCGTATTCTTAGTTGCTTGCTTCCAGGTATCCATCATTCTATTCTGCTCATCTTCAGAAAGAGCAGAGGTCACCCACGGTAACATAGACTGAAGAACTTCAGCGCCTGTTGTCCCAATTATACGACCCACAATTTTGTCTTGCTCTTGAATGGAGAAATGTTTGTCAAATAATGGCCAGAGCTCCAGTTCCTCCAGGAAAATATGCTGATCCAATGTGATTTTTATGGACTTGCACATCCCTTGAAGCTTTGTTGCCAGTTCATTGTACTTCTTTTTGCAGTTACTGTTGCTGATACTAGACAGGACAAGGTCAGTTTCGGCTCCATTCCCCATCATGTCATCACTTTGCAAGTTCTCATGGAGAAGTGACAGCTCAGAAAGAACACTATAAATATCTCCAAATAATTTTTCCTCCTGCTTATGGTCTAGGGTGTAAGAGTGACTGACATTATGAAGTGTCTCCTTCGATTCAAGTGCAGGAAATAGGATGTCATCCTCTGCATTGCTGTGAGCCCTGTAGAAACCCCAAAGTAGATGAAATCTTCCAATGAATTGCCGAAGAAATGTCTCATCACAATCAACGAGCTTTCCAGATTCAACATCAAGATATTCCAAATCTTTGCTTATGGCCTTATGAAACTTGAATATTGTAGCAACCGGCCGCTCAGAATGCCCACCACTGAAGCTGTTGATATCCATTTCCCAAACAAAGAGACTGGAATTGAGAGCTGGAGCGGCAGAGTTTAAAGTAGAAGACCTCATAGCTTTGGCTGCTGAAAGAGAACCGAGTCCAAGACAATTACTGTTCACTCCGAGATCTGGGACACAGCAAGATCTACCTTTTCCAGATGCCTTGCAGCCGTTTGTGGCTTCGGAGGAACAAGTGGTATCATCATTTTTACAAGACAGTACAGCAGATCGCTTAGATGGCCTTTTATCTTGATGCCCACAACATGATTCTACAGCCCTATTTGAACATGGTGGCAAAGCACATGCCTTACATGATCGAAGAGGAATTTCTTCAATGTTGTTGAATGTTTTAGCACGGCATGAACCATTTCCATTTGGAGACAAGCATTCCCCAGCTTTGCGTCCTTTGCATGCCCAACCAGAGAACAGAGTTACAAGAGCCGTATCTGTTGTTGGTGCTGAGGCAAAAACAAACGACATAAGTTTGTAACACTGCAAGTAGATAAAATTTGGGAGAAAAGGTTAGGTCCACATCAAAAGACAGTACAGCAGATGGTACCTCCTGCTTGCAGGTTCTTCAGAAATATTTTAGCTTCATCTTCAGTTAAAGACGCCGCCAACCATGGTAAGACACGTTCAGTTAATCTCAAAGGCATAATGCACAAGCTTTGATAGAGAAGTTCTTGTTGTCGTTTAAAGCTGAAGTTCTTCCGTGCAAGCGGTAGCACCTGTTAGAACTACAAAGTTAGTGGCACACTAAGAAGATGGTAAACAGGATATCCATGGGGCCATGACATCAACTCGTAAAACAAATTTGCATAGTTTCAACTGGTTACTAAATCATCAAAGCCTTGGGAGAGCCAGAACTGAAGCGAAAGTCACCTGAATTTCCTCATTGTGGAAGTGTTGTTGAATAGTTTCCATTATTTGATCAGCATGTGAGCAAAGTTTTGTGTAAAACTCCGCAGCGGAAGTAGATGATGCTCCTGCAGTCTTGATACCTTCTATTAAGCACCGAAACTCGTTAAACTGACTTTCTTCTTCATCATGCTCTTGGGAAAAAGAAAACTCCCCATCTACTGCTGGAAATATGACCTTGTCCTCAGCAATACTGCAATCAAAAGGAACACATCATTTCAAAAAGAGTCATAATGCTACAGAAGTCTTCTTATGTGAACAATTAATGAAACACCATCAAAGGTGAGACACATCATCCAGAAATGTCCATGAAGCATGAGAATATCAGAGATGATCGAGCATCCATAAAGCTTAATAGTCAAACAAACTATCAGGGAAATCAGCCCCCACAGAATTTTATCTGGCTAGCAACCTTTCCAGCATAACATTTTCTGCTAAAAACTTAAAAATTGTGTTTCTTGTTATTTTCCCTCTATCACTGTATGCCAGAATTGATTGACAGTATACCTTTCTCACAAAAGAAGCTCAATCCACCATGGCAAAACTGAATGTATCTCAGAGAACAGAATACCACTAGGCATAATGTTCAACTTTCATCGCCAGAAAAACAAACAAACAATTACCTGTGAAAGATGCATACTTCAGCGATGAATTGTAACCTTTCGTCAAATGCGGATAAATCAGAAAAATCTCCCGACAGTTGGATATTTCTAGCTTCATCAGCTATTTCGTTCATCTCCTTGTTAATTGCCTTATGCCAGAGCAGTATTTCATCAATCGGGTGCATCTGAGAATCACATGAATCCAACTCTATGAGCTCTGGGTATTTTCTTTTCCCAACCTTGGATGACGCACATGCACACTGTGCTGCGCTTGTTATGCAAGTTGGCCTGCTGCCTGAAGGATCTACACAGCATTGGAATCGGAAATTTTCTATGCAACTTGAAGCCTCCTCACTGCTCTTTCTCCTTCCCATCCAAGTAAAAATAACCTTTTTATCAAAAAGTTTTTCAATCAATAAGACGGAACACCCTTCAACTCAACTTTTAATGTTGAATGGTGAGAGAAATCTTACCTGCTGAAGAAGCTTCTCTCCTGGCACTATCTTGCTTAAGCACGTCTGCATTTCCTTGCATTCGTCAATTGAAATGGAAGAAGACAGCCATGGAAGGAGCTCCGCAAGCATGTTCACCGGTATGCTGCAGAGAAACCGCCAAACTATGTATGCTTGCTCCTCATACTTGAATTTCTCAACAAGTAGGGGGAAAACCTACCAACAGCAAGAAAAAAAGCCACAGTTTTACCAATATGTCAAAAGATAACAACAGAACAAGCATGCCAGTGCTAGTAAAGAAAACAGGAGCATCAAACATGACGATACCTGCTTCTGTTCTTTAGCTAAATGCTGACTAACAGATGTCTGAAGGGCCCCAGTGGAGGAAGCTAACTCCCTCCGGAAACTTTCATCATTTTCCCCCGCAGAATTCAGCAACTCAAACAGATGATCGAAAAGACTACTTTCACCCTTGTGTTCAAGGGAGTATGTTTGTGCTACGTTCTTCACACGTATGTCAAGAGCTGGAAAAATTACCTACATCCACAGCATGCAGCAGTCTACAGTTTCTCTTCATAACACAAAACATGAATGATGCAAGAAAGCACGTATCACAGACCACACATACAGAGGAAAGGATTGAATTATCAGTATAAGAACCTAACTTATCATCAAAACTTCCAAGGATATGGTTCTTCAAAAGACATGATCAAGCCCCGATAAAGACAGGCTTTGAGCTATATGTACTAGTGCCCATACGTGGAAAGCAAACCTTTGATACACCATGTTTCAGAGTAAAGACTAAATTTCGAGTGAATATTTCCAAATGAGCCATCGCAGTGATTATATTGAGCTCGATTAAATGTCAAATGTCATGAAATGCAATTTGAAAATTCAAGCCAAATTTCCCTACGAGACTGATTCCAAATTCGAATTTCCCACTCCCAACACATGACAGAAAAACGAGTGGAAAAAAGACTCCCTAATCGCATACCTCGTCCTCGGCATTGCAGTGGTGCTTATAGATCGATCTCAGGAACCGATACCGTTCGCGTAGCGACCGGAGATCGACATGGTGACCGGTAGCGAACTCCAATGCCAATCTATGAAGCGCATCGAGTTCACTGCACACCGCTTTGTGGAAGAACAGGAAAATCAGGATCGGCGAAATCTCCCCCGCATCCTCCGCGAGTCCCGAGCACGAAGTCTTCGCAGGTGAAGGAGGAGAAGAAGACGGCAAAGAAATCGGCAGAATCACCGCCGAAGAAGACGACGACGACACCCCTCCGCCGCCTCTCGCCGCCTCGCCGCCCGAAAATTCCGGCAACGGCGTCGCCATTTCTGAGAGCTTATCCACGCGTCTTCAAAATCCACAGAGAAAATCTCTCTCTCTTTCTCTCTTTCTCTCTCTCTCTCTCTCTCTCTCACCGTCGATGACTCAATGTTCAAATCTCTTCAAACTCCTCAGCCCGCTTCTCCATGGAATTATCTGGTTTTCCTGTGGTTGTTTGTGTGGTTTCGTTCAACGGAGGCGTTGTTTGATTTTGATTTTTATTTCTATTTCATTTTTCAACATTTTATTGTATTTTCAAAAATATTTTAAACAGTAATTACGATTAAAAAAGTGTTTGGGGATTGGGTGAGGTTTTTATAGGAAGGTTTTACCACGTGGCCGATTCCACTGCCACGTCGGATGCTGATGCAAGCAACAGGTAGGCACGTGATCGATCGTAGCGCGACACGTGCAAGCGTACCTATGATCCGAATGGTCACTTGAGAGAGGGACGTCGGCTCGCGGATGTGGTCCAAGGGGTAAAACAGTAAATCTCATTACCTCATTTGGAGTTAATTAGCTTCGTTAACTAAAAATAATATTTGTTTTGATATATTATATGCCTCTCACTACATACCTTTACCATGCAATTGAAATGATATTTTTATTGTGACAAAAAAATAATATTTTATTGGAAATATTTATATTTTATTTATGTATTTTGGCTTTTAGATTAGGTGAGAACTTTGAACCAAAAGATAGATTTTGTTCATGAGAATATAAAAATATAAATGAACTTTTGGTGCTGACTACGTTATATTTTTTTATATTTCGGCAGAAAAGAAATGCATAAACCTAATTACTGAATTTTTCGTATATAGTTTTGTTTAATTATTAGATGTATTAGAATTTGATCAACTTGTTTAATTGAATTGAATGAAACAAATATTTACTTTTCACTAAACTAAATTTCCCAATTCAAATAAATTCAAATCATATTCCCCTTTTCAAATAATGTATCTGTCTCTTTATTTTTTATATTATTATATGACTATTTATTTCACAAAATGTTTAAAAAATCTTACAATATAAAAATCCAATCATACATCGCAACTAAGATCTAAAATTACAGAAAAAAACTCTAATATTACCCACATCATATCCAATCTTATTTCTGAAAATAACCAAAAAAAAATATTAATAAAAAGTTATTGATTATCGAGATAAGGTTAATCATAAAGAAGGATGTGTTATTTTTATAAAAAGATTAATACAATGTGATGAAATTAAGTGTTGATAAGTGATGTGAGAGAGAGAGAGAGAGAGAGAGAGAGAGAGAGTGGATGGACACAACACAACACAAGAGGGGATGTGTGGGAAGTAGGGCTGGGCACAAATACCCGAAAATCGGGTATCCGTCGGATACTCGTCTCACGGATACCCGATTTTAGGGTACTCGTAATTTTCAAATCCGAATCCAAATCCTGATTTTTTAATACCCGTGAATCCGGATCCAAATCCGGATAATAGAATTTTTAAAACCGGATACCCGCGGGTACCCGCGTATTATAATTATAAATAATTATATCTTATATTTATATAACATTTTTATAAAATACAATTATTTTAGATGAAATAATTTCATATTTTTTTAATATTAATTCAAAAAAATTAAATTTATTATTATTTGTCTCTTATTATCTCTTTTGTTTTATATATTTTATCATAATTCATCAATTTTTATAAATATATCTTCATGTTTTAAAAATTTTATATATGAATATTGTTGTTTTTCTTAAATAAATCCGGATCCGGATATCCGCGAGTACCCGACTATTATTCCGGATACCCGTACCCCGGATACTCGTAAATACCAAATCCCGGATACAAATCTTATAGTTAAATACCCGAGTCTCCCGGATCCGAATCCAAATCTCTCGATTTTCCCGGGTATCCGACCCGTGCCCACCCCTAGTGGGAAGTGTGGCGACAATTAGTCAGCAACAAGTTCCACTCGCGCCCTCTTCTCCACAACACATACCCTTGTTTTTCCACACAAAAACTTTTAAAAATCATATATACAGGGGACCGTTGAATATTACTACCATATTAGTTGTTCCCCCGTAATTTCCACGACTATCTAAATACATCATTTTCTTATCACGTATATGAATATTTGAAAAACTATTATAGATAGGCAAAATTATCCGAATTTCGGGTATCCATCGTGATTCGAAAATCGAGTACCCGAAAATTAGATATCCTTTCAATAAGATAAAGATAAGATTTTATTACGTCTAAAATTTGGAATTCGAATTAATGTTTTTAGGTTCGATAATTAACCGTGCGTATCCAAATAGTAAAAAAATAACAAAATATAGTTATTAGAAAATTTCAAAATATTTATTAATATTTAATTATTTTCTGTGTTTAGATAAAATAAATTATCGTTTTATGATTTAATTATTTTAGATAGACTGACTATTTCGGATTTCGGTTCAGTTATTTTGGGTTCGATTATAAAAAAATTATAATCGAACGATAATGTAAATTAAATCGTTTCAGTTCAGTTCGATTTCGATTTGGTTCAGTTCAGTTATATTCGTTTATAAATAAATACTAACATATACAAAATAAGTTACAAAAAAAAATCTTTAAAAATTTCGAATTACATCATAATATTAATATTAACCATTTAAAATCATCAATCTAAATCAAACTACAAAATATTAATTTTCCAAAATGTTCAATCCAAATTTTAAATCACAAAATCTCCAAAAATTTTCAAAATTTTCAATCTTCACTATTTTTTCCCTTCTTTTATTTTTAAAAAATATAATAAATTAATATATAATGTATATAAAAATAAGATTTTCATAAGATAAGAAAATAACTTTTAATTATTTATAAATTAAAGGTTGAGATATAATGAATGTATGAAAATTAAAAGTGAAATTCTAAAAATATTGTACAAATATTTAGAATAAAATACTAATAGTCGTTCGGTTTAACCGCGGTTATTCGGTTAATAACCGAACCGAAACTAAACGATTATTAAACTTGCTCAACCGATCGGTTATTAAACAAATAACCAAACCGAACCGAACCGATGTTATTCGATTCGATTCGGTTAATAACCGAAATGGTCACTCCTAACTCGGACGTAACCCAGAGATCTATTCTCATGGAATCAGAGAAAGCAATACATATATATGCTAATAATCTAATAAAAAGGAATTGAAACATGTAATCACAAGAATCATGTCACCAATTATAATCAAGTTCGTACGACAAGTCGCAGGACGTAGTCCGTCATATCGTCTATACGTGCCTCATGCGTATGTAATATACTCTCCATGTGCATAGCATAACCACCTCTCTCTTCTGATCTGACATAATTATTTTTTTCTCCACCCGAACACATCACCCCACCCTAACATCGATAGCACCTCTCGATACTAGGTGTGTCACCTCACTCCGACATTGATGTTACCTCTCAACACCAGAGTTCACCAGACGTCGACTACAACCGACGCCATCGACTATAATGGGAGAGCCAGTCGCTACAACTCCCCCTCGCCGACCATCCGCCGCGGAAATACCTGTCAGGTTCGTGCTCGAATCTGGCAGAGTAAATCTGTACCACCTCCTCAGAAGACCCCAATCTACCTGAATCTCAGATATGTGTAATGTCTCATCCTCGGAAGAATCATATTCCACAATCCGCCCTGTCGCTAGCGGATACGTTGGTGCGGTTGCCAAGAACCGTATTTTCTCATCACGCAATAGTACCGACTACAATCGGCTATCTACGCAAGTCATCGGGATGCCCATAATCATCCTATCGTTCGGACGTTGGCGCGATTATATGTCATCGCTTCAATCACAATCATATCCCATATGAGGGGCATCTAACCCAGATCAGATGTCCCATGGATGGAACGTAGTCTTGCACTTATCATGCTTTCAACCATATATATCATTTTCTACAATCACACGCTAGACATTAATTCGAACCCTTTCGAATTAATGTTAACGCAATGCCAGTTACCCCAGTCACACGCATTTATATAGTTTACTTACTATACATGCATTTCCATTTGCGTAGTCTTTTATTTATCCTTATAATCATTTAATACTTCTTTTCATTTTATCAAGTTAAATTACCGAGTTTTACCTCCGGTTTGACCTACCTGGTCTCGATCCGCCCGGATAACCAGTTCGATTCATTTCGTGGTATTTAAGCTTACATATTTAATTATTTTGGAAAAAGACTATGTGTAGTCCGTTCTGACCCGTATTTTTGGTCTATTTCTATATTTCTCTTTTTTTCACCAAATTCGCACAAATACACATGATTTGTTATGGGTAATTTACCAAAAATTCTTATTTCAATTAGAACATGAATCAAATATCAATCAATCATGAAACATTCAAAACTCAAACCTGTCACATCCGAATCCCGTTTTCCGTGGACAGGATGTGTCACATGGACTAAAACCAATAAAAATAATACTAAACCGAATACGGGAATTTAAAAAAATTATTTTTCCATACAATTACGCAGCTTTATTATGTACTGTTGTATGAGCTTTATTATGATACATTTGATGTATTGACACTTACTATGGTTTTATGGTTGAGTGTTTGATTCATTATATGTTTTGCATACTATAATATGTTATGAAATCCATGTATTATTATGAACAATACTAAACTCTCTAGTCATATATCGTTGTGGGAACAATGATTTATTAAGACTAGTATGATGTGTGATAGATGATCATAGAGATAATCATGGGTATTGGATACGATCACAATCATAGATATTCGTTGGAGAACGAAATATTGGATTGACCCACATGAGATTGTCACATGGACTAGTGTCATGACTTGAATCTCATGTGACGGTTCCATGATTGGATCCTACGACATGAGATATCTATGGAATCCAACATGAGGAGTTGCCTACTTTGAATACGTCAAACGTCATGCGTAACAGGAGGACTATAAAAGGCGTGTATCAGGTACGACACGAATCATGTGCTAGATTGTATATAGTCAAGATGGTATTTGTACATCTCGTAAAAGAGAGAGATATCGCTAGACTCCTCGTGTGAGCGAGACTGTAGAAATGTGTGACCACACTATAGACGAGCATCATCTATTTCGTACAGTCGAACTCAGTGAACAAGAAAGCAGTCGAATAAGATAAGGTGGCTTCTCCATGCCTTATGTTCGACATATGTTATCGTGATACAGGAGAATCATCAACCGGAATCATCACCGACGTTCGTAAGATCACGAACAAAC